CCCCAAAACCCCAAAACCCCAAAACCCCATTGATTAGTCAAAGACTTGAACAAAATGAGTATTTAAATAACTTTTATTGACTGAGTTATAAAAAAGTCTCAGAGAATAACTATCATAATCAATGCTATTTGATACCACTTAGTAGTTATTATATGTATTCCAAAAGCTAAGGTAATTCCATGAAGCTTAATCATATTTCATGGTATATGAATTCTTTCAGTGAAAGTATTCATCATCTTTGGCACTAGAATTAGTCATAGTCTTAATCTCCTGGTTGAAATATTCCATTTCTTGTACTCTGTGCCCCTCTTTATCTGCTATTTCTTTCTCCAGCTAATTCAGTACTTTGTTTATTGTTTCATCTGAGGGAGGTACAAAGTTTTCTGGAGTCTCATTGTATGCCTCAACCAGTACTCTAATCATATCTTTACTAGTGGTCTGTTCATTATAGTGAACAAATTCTATCTTTAAAAAGTGATCGAAGTAACTTAGAGGGACAGTCTAGTCCTTAAAGTCAATATTATCGTACAATTTGACGAACTTGAGCACTACTTCTACAGCTTTTGGCTTGATTGAACTTGATAAGCAATGATTTTTGCGATTAAAAATTCTGAATAGGCACTCGTATACAAATTGGGGGCAAATAGCATTAACTTTCTTACACAGGCTATAATCAAAGTCTGTTTATGTTGGAACAATTAGAATCGTTTTTTATCTTGCCTGAAGTTAGTTTTCATGAGATATTTCGGTAAGGAAACTAGACATGACTTCCCATTTATCCGGGGTATTGTTCTTGTCTACATACAGGATGTCTAATACTTTCTCATAGTTTTGGCTTTGTTCTCCCGCACTTATCAGAGTGTAAGAAGCCATTTCATCTTGAGATTATACACAAGCTTCTCTGATTTACTGATTGAATACCTCTTCTGCTTAACCCCTTATTATGTCAAAAGCTGCCTAGAAATCCACATCTGGATGTTCCTAGAAATATTTTTGTTGGAGATCTGTAAACACATGATCGAACGACACTCTTTTGAATTGCACCTTTACATTAGATCCGAGTGTCTATACTTTCAATTTAAGTGAGGCCTGCTCAAGGAACCTACCGATTGTAGTTTTACCCATCCCTGGGATGCCTGCTGGCAAGAAAACAAGTCTTCTAATGGTCTCATCTTCAGACATAACTTTCTCAATGAAGGACATTAATGTCGACTCAATGTCTTGCAGGTGTTTTCTCTTGGCAGGTGAGGAAAATGACTCGCTTGAAAAGAATCTGTGGTCTCTTTTTTCTATTCTGTAGATATCCTCAGGATAGCTTTGTGAGTTTTAAATGTGATTCATCAGTTACTAATGAGGTTCTGTCGTGTTCATTTTTGGAGTGTATCAAGATATTGTGTTAAGTTTTGAAATGAATAGATTTATTATAGTTTTATTTGAATTGAAGATAAAATAGTTTAGAATAAGATTTTCGAATCCATTTAATAGATTTCAATCATTTTCACATGCTTTATTCTGATGTCATGGGGTTTTGGGGTTTTGGGG